AACTAGAGAGAGAAGTTAAAAAGATGGGAAGGACATGCATTCAACAGTGAAGGATAGAATGGCTTGGCGTGAGTTGGTTGAGGGCCTATGCTCCATTGGGGGTTATAAAGGTAGGAGAAGGAGATTCTTAACGGTGAAGATTCTCATCCATGAGGGGGTAATCCTATAGAACATATGAATGAATGAACAAACAAAAGAATGTTACTTCTAAAGGGTCACAAATTGGGCACATAGCCCACCTTACATTCGTCCCTTTCAAACACTGATCTTTCACTCAGACAGCAATCCCGGAGAGGAACCGCAATAGTCACAGAACAATAAAAGTTTCCTTCTGATGTCTCTACTAAATACATCATTTCGACTCTTTTTTTTTATTAGTGTATTTTAGTGATAAGTGAGGATTATCATCACAGCACTCTGGACAGATCCATAGGTGCCCCGATCATCTCCTTAACAGCTCCACAAAAGTAAAACGACTGGTCACATCTGTCATCTGTGCGTAACATGCAGCATTTGCAGACAGGTTTTAAAACACTGTATTCACATTCTGAAATATCTAGCCACATTACTAAACCTTCTTCTTCTTCTTCAGCGATCAGTTTGTGCAATGCATCTATGTCAGGTCACAGACAAGAAGGTGCACTTGTGGTCATCATCAGTGTCCCACATTTGGATCTCTTCTCCTGAAGAGCTAGGGAATTGAATTTTCAAAAGTACATTCCAAAGCTGACACTGTATATCATGTTATCGCCATCATGGGCTCAAGACTCCCCGCTTCCCCGCCTTCCCATTGTTTGTTTTGCAAGGTCACTACTGTGGGATTACTGAACCAACCGATGCCACGTCATGTAGCATGTGTTATACTATCAGTCAACATTTATAAATGCAAGCAAAACAGACACTGAATGTAGTCAGAATAAATGGTCATGTTATAATAATCATTACAAGAGCACAGCTCACTATTCCCTCAAGCTACTGAAATAAAAGAGCACAGTGATTTCAAGGAATTAGTTTACATGTTCATCAGTCTGTTCATTTACCACTTTCTTCTTCTTCATCTTAATCTTCTTCTTTTTTAGTTCCCCTTTAATCTGTCGGGGGAGATTTAAGATTCTGTCTTTGTTAGCACTCATCGGCTGTAAACTCCAGCAGAAACTTATAGTTGTTGGTCCATTTCTGGACTTTGTCTTATTCCAAAACTTGAGTTTTACAGATCTGGCTTATTTATATGCAGACTGTTGGATTTCCTTGCCTCTCAGGCGGATGCACTGATTTGGATGGAAACACTAAAAGTTTACTTTTACGACATAACTGTTGGGGGGGGGGGGGGGGTCGCCAGTAGGTATAATCTTGTCTCCCCCCCCCCCCAAATGGGGCCCCTGAGCAAACAGGGAGATTTCTTCCCCTGAAGCGCTAGTGAACCCAGTCTCATATACCAAAGTTCTCCCCGTGTGCGTCCTGGAGCCCCATTGTCGGGAAAACAAGAACAGACCCACTGCCTACCAAAAAGCATGTCGTAAGAGTCAACTAACTGGGAGCTTCCTTCAAAGTCAGAGTTCATCTACCTGAGAGACAAGAAACCAACAGTCTGCACACAAATGAGTCAGATCTGTAAAATGGATGTGCACACAACCCTCAGGTTCGGAAACAGTACTAGAGCCCAGAAGTGGACGAACAACCAAATCTTCTCCGCTGGAGTTTACGCGAAAAAGATGTACCAAAGCTCAAACTGTCTGTCACTGTAACGATCACCCGTTCTATGATTTCTTCTCAGCAATGATCATGACTTAACTCGGAGGGTTTAGCATCACAGGCCCAAGGGGTGGTCAAGAAAGACGTAAAATCGGCGCATTTTGCGTTCATTGGGCTTCTAGGTAGGAATCTATGAACATATGATGCTTTCCTTGGAACTCAAAGAGTTACAAAATTTGCTATTTGCGGATGGGGCCTATGATGCCATTCACATTTCTATAGACCAGTGATTTCCAAACTGTGCACCACGGCGCCCGGGGAGCTGCGACTTCATCACAGGAGCACCGCAAAATATTTAAAGATACACGAGTGTTATTAATTTTTTTGTATATATCTTACATAGGAACTTTTACTTAGGATAGGGGGCTGTGGACAAATTTCAATTGAAAAAAAAAACAAAAAAGCACTGGGACTAAGACAAGTTTGGGAAACAGACTAAACAGTCCTCACCCGGGTCATCTTGACTTCCCAGGACTTTACCTGGTTCTCATTTTAGGCTGAGTCGGCCTGAAGAAAATTTGACCTCATGTGGTTCCAAACCACAACCTTTAGGCCAGCCAGCAGAGCCTCTAGCCGCTACACCACAGCAGTTCCTAGCATCTGTATACCTTCTTAGAAATGAAATAACTGAGAGCTACCATGTTTTAAATAGATAGTATTGTGTGCAATATGTTTGTCTCATTCGTGAAAAAAAAATGTAAACAAAAAACCAAAAAACAATCAATCAAAAAATGCATCTGGCTTTCACTGCTAGGGCAAAACAATGCAATCATTCCACAAAAAGACACAAAGAATGGCTGTTATCTCAAGCCCTACCTTGTTAGCACTAGGTATTCCAACAAAATAGGGACAACAAAGGTGAATGGAGAAACAGCACTCAGCCCCAACCATGTAGAGAAAATTAGCACACGGTGGCAACAGGAGGCTAAAGGTAAACAGAGAATCAGTATCCAGTCCACAGCACAGAGTAACGGAACCTTGTATCCACCTTCAGGCGTATTGGGCACACACGGCTAGACTCACTAGGCGGGTGATGTGGTCAACATAACGCCAGCCACCTTTACTTCCCAGAAATCTTCCTGGTACCTGGCAGCTAAGGTCATTTTGGGGAGGAAAAGTCTGGTTCCTTCAGGGTCTGAACCTATGATCCTCGGATACACAGGCACGCACCTAGCTGCTACATCACAGTAACTCAGTCCATATAGGACTAAGGAACAGAAAAAACAGCACTCTATCTGCAACAAGGTTAAATGTCAAGGCTGAACTTAGTCCACAACATTGCTGAAGGCAAACACAAAAACAGCCTGCAAGAGAGGACATACAATGTTCAAAATGTTTTACATGTCTCCACAAGAACTGACATCACTGGAATAGGGACATTCAATCACGTGTGAAACCACAAATGGTAAATACAAACTGTACAATTTTCTTACCAACAGACAACAAAAGTGTCAACTCCAAAAATTAGGGTTAACCCTGCCGGACCTGAGGCCCTGAACCTAACTGTGCCCTATACCTGAGCTCCTGGGCATTAACAAAAAAAAAAAAAAAAAACATGATATACAAAAATATTCGTTACATGCAAACAAGTGGCTAGATTATAATTTTCAAGAATCTCCTCATTATTCAAGCTGAACGTGTCACTTCAACTGTGAACGTATTCTTCATGAAATTATGACTCCGCAGAGTTTGAATAAACCAAAGTTTCGATCACCTGTCGGACTGTGAAAAGCCTAGACCTACTTTACTGACCTGTTGAAGTGCTTGGTTCATCAGCCGCTTGTTTCATTGTGAATTTTCAGAATTTTTTCACATAAAACAACAAATTGTATCCAAACACACGAGGGCGGACATCTAGGAAGACTATCCACAAGGTCTGATTACGATTGGCTAGTTATTTTTAGTTTGTGACGCATCTTCTTCACGCACTATGCAAATAGCCTAAAATTAGGGACAGCGGTATAGTGTCAGGTTAAGAAATAACCCAGAAAATCAGCGGTCTGGTAGGGTCAACAACCTGTAGAGGACATGCACCTGAGCTTAGGCCTCCTCAACAAAATACCATCTGACTATATAACGTGGACTCTCCATGTTGGAAAGTTCTCCACCTATCGCTGGCATCTCTCTCCAGGGTGTCACTTTGTAAGCATGAGGCTTGCTGGGAAAGGGCGGGGGGGGGGGGGGGGGGGGGGGGGGGTGGGGGGGGGGGGGGGGGGGGGGGGGTATGGACAGGACCTGTTATGCCAAAGACTGGCTGGCAGCCACATGGGGGGAGAGACAGCTAACTGTAGTGGTGACCCTTGAATATTGAAGGATTCCAAAAGTGGACAGGATGATAATGACGAGGATTCCTCACAAACAGACCTAGTTCCATCAATGCATTCCTTGTTGGATGAGAGTTATAGTGATTATTTTGGTAATGTAATCTTCTTCTTCTTCGTGTTCACTAACTATAAACTCCTAGTGAAAGTTCTGGTTGTTTGTCCATCTCTGGATTTTAGTCTTGTTCCAGAACCTTAGTGTTGAATGCACATCCCTTTAACAGATCTGACTTAACTGTATGCAGATTGTTGGTTTCCTGCCTCTCAGGCAGATGCATTCCAACTTTAAAGGAAGTCCCCAATTAGTTGACTCTTACGATGAGCTGCTAGTTGAGGAGGCAGTGGATCTATTATTGTTCTCCCCACAATGGGGTCCGAAACCCCCACAATGGGGTCCGAAACCCCCACAATGGGGTCTGGAACCCACACAGGGATAATATAGTAATGATAAAAAAGTACTCTTAAGACAAGAATAATAATAGTATATCCAAGGATAACATAAAAAATGGTCATGTAAATATAATGAAGATACCCAAAGGATAAGGACAAAGATGCTCCACTGTTGAGAAAACATAGATTCCCTTGTGTTAAACATAAAACAGCTTTTCTTTGTTGAATACAACCAATACACACTAGAACAGTGTTTCCCATTTGGTGGTCAGCAGAACAAATTCATGGGGTTAGGAATATCTTTTGCACACACAGACACACATCAAAAAACAACTTAACTTTAGAAAACAATCTTATTTTTTTTTAACGATTCTATACGAAAAAGAATTTTCATTAAAAATAAATTTAAAAAACACCTCTGAGAAAATACCTAGCAATCAAACTCCATAAAATGATCGATGAGGATGCATATGTTGGCATATAATGATAAATGATGGTACATGGAACAACAGTGAAGACCCCCCCAAAGCACCTGCCCTAGCAAGCACAGCCCTCTTTATTTGGAGGTTGGTCTGTGTTTATAGGGTTCCGAGGTGTGGCCGGCTTGTGCTGTACGCCCGACTCAGCAGCATTCAGATCCAAACTATCAAACAAACAACAAAAAAAAAAACAGACATGAAAAAAGTGAAATCTTAACGTGTAATTTGTTTCACAGATCCTAACTAAAATAAAACGACTTGGGGGAAATTTATTAGAATCTGTACAATGTGTGTTTTTTTTTAAATAATTTTTTTTTATTTCACCGATTCTTCTTCTTCTTCTTCTATGTGTTGGCTGTAAACTGCAGCAGAAAGTTCTGGTTGTTCGTCCACCTGGACTCAAGTCTTGTTCCATAACCAGAGTGTTGTGTGCACTTCAGTTTTACAGATCTGACTTCATGTGTATGCAAATGTGTGGATTTCTTAAAATCTAACTTTCAAGGAAATCCCCCAGTTAGTCGACTCCTACAACATACTTGTTAGAAAGACACTAGGTCTGTTCTTGTTTTCCCCCACAATGGGGCCACAGAATCCACACAGAATCCACACAGGGATTTCACAGATCCAAGCCACATGAAAAAATAAATAAGAATCTTGAAACTGGTCTCCACCCCCCCCCCCCCCCCACACACACACACACACACACAAACAGGAAAGGATGCCTTCCCACTCCTTGAAGTATATCGGGTATATGGCACTAATCCCATATTTGTAAAGACTTCTATTTAATTGGAAGTGGCAGAAAAGTGGTTTTACAGACAACTTATGAGAATACTCTGGACAGATAGAAAGAGCAATGAAGATGTCTTGAAACAAACTAATTCACAAAGAGAACTGACGGCCCACATCAGAAGAAAACAGTTTAAATTTTTTGCTCATATCACGAGAAGGAGAAAACTGAAGTACATCGTTGCAGTGGGAAAAGGGGGGGGGGGGGGGGTCGAAGAGGGCAGAAGAAGGCTGAGAGAGAAGATGCTGGACAGTCTGACATCATGTCATGGAAGATCATCTGTATCAGAATTGACTGGAAGTATACGAGACAGAAGGTTCCGTGACTACACGCATGAACTATAAGAAGAATCAGCATTTACTAGATAATTTGGTTAAAACATGGCAAAAATCACATTTACTTCCCAGAAAATACCATAACAATGAAACATAGGATATATTTTTAGCATCTTTTTCTTCTTCTTGACACTCTCTTTCACCATTTGATGGTTGAGGGAGATGTTTCTTCCTTTTTACATTCTCTTTCACTACTCTGGGGTTGAGGGAGATGTTTCTTCCTCTTTACATTCTCTTTCACTACTCTGGGGTTGAGGAAGATGTTTCTTCCTTTTTACATTCTCTTTCACTACTCTGGGGTTGAGGGAGATGTTTCTTCCTTTTTACATTCTCTTTCACTACTCTGGGGTTGAGGGAGATGTTTCTTCCTCTTTACATTCTCTTTCACTACTCTGGGGTTGAGGGAGATGTTTCTTCCTCTTTACATTCTCTTTCACTACTCTGGGGTTGAGGGAGATGTTTCTTCCTCTTTACATTTTCTTTCACTACTCTGGGGTTGAGGGAGATGTTACTTCCTCTTTACATTCTCTTTCACTACTCTGGGGTTGAGGGAAATTTTTTCTTCCTATTGACACTCTCTTTCACTACTCTGGGGTTCAGGGAGATGTTTCTTCCTCTTTACATTTTCTTTCACTACTCTGGGGTTGAGGGAGATGTTTCTTCCTCTTTACATTCTCTTTCACTACTCTGGGGTTGAGGGAGATGTTTCTTCCTCTTTACATTCTCTTTCACTACTCTGGGGTTGAGGGAGATGTTTCTTCCTCTTTACATTCTCTTTCACTACTCTGGGGTTGAGGGAGATGTTTCTTCCTCTTTACATTTTCTTTCACTACTCTGGGGTTGAGGGAGATGTTTCTTCCTCTTTACATTCTCTTTCACTACTCTAAGGTTGAGGGAAATTTTTTCTTCCTCTTGACACTCTCTTTCACTACTCTGGGGTTGAGGGAGATGTTTCTTCCTCTTTACATTCTCTTTCACTACTCTGGGGTTGAGGGAGATGTTTCTTCCTCTTTACATTCTCTTTCACTACTCTGGGGTTGAGGGAAATTTTTTCTTCCTCTTGACACTATCTTTCACTACTCTGGGGTTGAGGGAGATGTTTCTTTCTCTTTACATTCTCTTTCACTACACTGGGGTTGAGGGAAATTTTGTCTTCCTCTTGGGATTCTCTTTCACCACTTTTGGGCTGAGGGAGATAATTCTTTTTCTGGACAGTCTCTTTCACCACACACAGGCTGAGGGAGATATTTCTTCTTCTGGACAGTCTCTTTCACCACACACAGGCTGAGGGAGATATTTCTTCTTCTGGACAGTCTCTTTCACCCCTTTGGGGTTGAGGGAGATATTTCTTCTTCTGGACAGTCTCTTTCACCCCTTTGGGGTTGAGGGAGATATTTCTTCTTCTGGACAGTCTCTTTCACCACACACAGGTTGAGGGAGATATTTCTTCTTCTGGACAGTCTCTTTCACCCCTTTGGGGTTGAGGGAGATATTTCTTCTTCTGGACAGTCTCTTTCGCCACTTAGGGATTGAGGTACGTATTTCTTTTTCTTCTGCATTCATCCTTAAATGGGTGGTTAGCACATTGTGTTGTGGTTTACAGCTAGGCTGTGTCTTTCTGCCCCACTGATCTGACTTCAGCAAACCCAAAATTAGCCACCTTTTACGACTAATAGTTGTAAAAACGTTAGGGGAAGTTGTTCTTTTCCCTCCCAAATAAATGTGGAACCCACAAGGGAGAAGGGATACATAATGTTCTACTTTCTGTTCTTCTCACTGCCTCAACCACAGACACATAGCAGTGTTGTTACTTAGACACTCTGATGTTATCTTTTCATCTCGTTCTTGGTCTACCACGTGCTCAACATCCCACTCCTCCTTTGGTGTATACACAGTAGTGTGCTATGGCATCGCAAGGCATTCTTTTGGACACATTTAACATAAACATGTTTTCATTTTTTCACTGACCTGCCATCCTGGATGTTTTGATAAATTTTCTTTGCTGTATCCAAAAAGGCGTCTTCTACATTTTCACCTCTGAAAAATAAAATTAATACTTCCTTAAGTTTCCTATTTGCCTTTTATTCACTCCCCCCCCCCCCCCCCCCCCCCCCCAAAAAAAAACTAGTATATTATTTATTTTTTACAGTTTGTGTGCTCACTTGTCTGCTGCACAACTCCCAACTGAGAAAAGATTTTTAAAACACACACAAAAAAATGTCATTCACCATTACGTGAACAGACTAGGCATCTGATTTACAAAACCAGGCTCTGGAGTAATTTAATCACACATTAGATTCTTACTGATAAAAAAACACATCATTAGTGGCTTGGGAAGTGGCACTCTTCAGGTTTGGGCATGAACTTCCTATCTTAAAACCTCTTTAAACCCAAGGAAGAATTAAATGACCTTTCTATTTTCTTGACTGATCAATTAACCGTGAGTGGCAAATCATTGTGCAGAACTTTGCTCTTCACCAGTTACAGTACTTCATGCACTTGTCTGTTGAAGGTGCTGAGTCACCCGCCATTATAACGTACAGATTTGGGAACACACTACAGCTATAATCATGAGACATGGGACATGATAAGTTAGTCTTTCCTCTTGAGCTTAGGGTGGCGCATACACAGAGGTCATAGATCTCCATTTCTGGCGGTTCGCTGCCACCTGTTTTATGTCTTCGATGTTTGTTAGCTAATGGTTGAACTTACACTTACGCAGGATCTCTCTTGGCCTTTCCCATTTTCTTTTCCCTTCCAGTGTCCATATGAGAGCTTGTTGGGGGAGTCTGGTCTTATCCATACTGAGTGCATGGCCGTTTTAGTTCCAGCGGCACTTTCTTATAAAATTAGATACATCATCTTGCTTCGTCTCTTTAGGAGAAGATAGATGGTGTTTTTTATGTATTACAGTGGGACAAATACAAGAACTTACGTTTTGGCACTGCACTCAAGGAACATGAGACCTGGAGAAATAGACAGGAGCAAATGATAAATATTGTGTGGGACTGTGTGTACATACATCCATTAAATAATCTTTCTATGACTCTCTCTCTCTCTGTCTTTCACTTTCAGACTATTAACGTTAAATATGTGAACAGGCGCACAAACGTCTCTAGTCACTAACAAACTAGCTCACGAATACAATTTCTGAACAAATGTCAACTCGACCCGCAAACAATGCCTCGGTGCACAACCGCACAAATATGAGTCTGGCACCATGTTTTCAGCTCGTGAACAGCATCAGTTGTACTCAAGTCTGCTTGATTTGAACATTGTTTGCCGTTGTGTTGTTCTCAATAAAATAATTATTGTTATTGCAGTTTTTGTTTTAAATTATATGCGTCTCATTTCATGGTTGTTTTTGTTTTGAAAGAAGCCAGAGTTGAAGAATTATCAAACAACATAGCATGTAAATGGGAGAAAATGTGGCTTTCCTGGGATTTAATAGACTATCCGCGCAAAAGAGCTAGAGAGCAAGATTGAAAGACTTTAAATAAAAGGGATAGACTATAAAGAGAACAGAAGATTGAAAGACTTTTAAAATAAAAAAAAAAAATAAACACCAGGTAAACTAAAGTAATGAGAAATTATTACAAAACAGAAAATTAAATTGATGTTAAATGATGAAGCAATAGAGGAAGTTGAAGAATTTATATACCTCAGAAGTAAAGTTACTCCAGATGGAGATTCTGAAAAGGATGTAACATCAAGAATAAACAAAGCAAATCAAGCATTTGCCATGCTTAACAATATATGGAAGTCAAAGGGATTTAGTTTGAAGACAGAACTTTGAGCAACATTTTAGGAATACTATTATACAACAGTGAATGTTGGGAAATGACAGCAGGAATTACACATAAACTTGAGACTTTTCAAAATAACTGTTTAAAGAGAATTCTATGAATATTTTGGCCAAACAAGATCAATAATAAGAACTGAGCAGGAAAACAGAATGAGCATCACTGGCAAATGTTATCAAAGTAAGATGATGGAGATGGACATGTTTGTAGAATGCCTTGTGACACTGGCAAAAACAGCTCTCCGGTGAACAGCAGATTGGAAAAGGAGACGTGGGCGACCTAAAGAAACCTGGCGAAGGACAACAGAACGGGAAATGAAGGAATGTAAACTGACATGGGATACCATGGGCAGAAAAGCAGAAGACCGGCAGCAATGGAGATCACTTGTGAATGCCTTATGTGTCAACAGCGACATGAAGAGGATATAGATACAGATAAGAAGAACATCAAAAGACAGACAGGTAAATAACTTGACCACATGTCACGGACTATAAGGAGAAGAGGAAGAAGATCAAACACACAGCATGTGAAAAACCTGGCCATATGTCATGGACTGTAACCAGAAGAAAAACAAACACAAAGCATGTGAATAACTTGGCCACATTTACCGACTATGAGCAGATGCAAAAACAAACATAAAGCATGTGAATAACTTGGACACATGCTATAAGCAGATGAAGAACATCAAACCCAAAGCATGTGAATAACTTGGGCACATGTACCGACTATAAGCAGATGAAGAACATCAAACACAAAGCATGTGAATAACTTGGACACATGCTATAAGCAGATGAAGAACATCAAACACAAAGCATATGAATAACTTGGACACATGCTATAAGCAGATGAAGAACATCAAACCCAAAGCATGTGAATAACTTGGACACATGCTATAAGCAGATGAAGAACATCAAACACAAAGCATGTGAATAACTTGGGCACATGCTATAAGCAGATGAAGAACATCAAACCCAAAGCATGTGAATAACTTGGGCACATGCTATAAGCAGATGAAGAACATCAAACCCGAAGCATATGAATAACTTGGGCACATGCTATAAGCAGATGAAGAACATCAAACTCGAAGCATATGAATAACTTGGGCACATGCTATAAGCAGATGAACATCAAACTTTAAGCAAGAATAACATGCATAAACAGATGAAGAACAAGTAAACAAACATATGAATAACTTGGACACGTGCTATAAGCAGATGAAGAACATCAAACACAAAGCATATGAATAACTTAGCCACATGTCACTGATTATAAGAAGAGTAACATCAAACACAAAGTATGTGAATAACTAAGCAACATGTCAATAATTATAAGAAGAATAACAATAAACATGAAGCATTTCCTCACCATTTTCTTCAGCAAACTGTTTGGCCTCCTCATAGGTTACATCTCTTTGTGCATCCAGGTCACACTTGTTGCCAATCAAGAATATCACCTGACACAATCAGAAATAAACAGACTCTTTAATTCATCCACTGATTCAGCATCTACTCCTCCATCCTAGACGTGTGTACAGGCATATTAGGGGCATACCCTATCTTGATCTATGATCCAGAGTGCAAAGAAACTTCACAGATTATGAAGAAAGGAATCTTCATCTTCTTCTTCTGCGTTCATCCGAAGATGTAATTGCGTTGTGTCCGTTTACAGCATGGCTGCAATAAGTGCACCTTTCGGCCAACACATCCGACTTCTGCGGGCATTTGTTGACTGGGTTAGCCTTTTCGGTGAAGAAAGGAATTATGATCTGCAGTGTATAAGCATTTTACAGACTATGAAGATGTGCAAGTGAACAAACACAAATTACAACTTAAATTAATTCTTCTTCTTCTTAACATTCACTGGCTGTAAACTCCGGTGGAAAGTTCTGGCTGTTCATCCACCCCTAACTTTCATCTTGATCTAGAACTTGAGTGTCGCGTGAACATCCGTTTTACAGATCTGGCTTATTAGTATACAGACTGCTGTTTCCTGGCCTCTAAGCAGAAGCACTCCAACTTCAAAGAAAGCCACCAGTTGGCCAACTCTTAGGACATGCGCTGTCAGGAGGCAGTGGAGCTATTCAATCAACACAGACTGGACTGGAGTCAACAGTTTTCAAACACAAATTCTACAGGGACCCACACAGACAAAAATGAAAAAAATCAACATAAGAACAATTCAAACTTTACAGGATAGAAGTTGTCCAATCAGCAGCAAGAAGAATGAAAATCAACCACACAAACAAATCAATTACAACAAACTCAGAGTAGCAGCTGGCCACATGATTGGTATGATCAGTTCTCAGATAGGAGACCCAGATTTGAATCTTTGGTAAGGCGATAGAGGTTTGTCCTGTCCGAGGCAAAAATAAACATCCTACCCTACACGATTCATGACAACTGTACTAGCCATGCCGCCCTAAATCCTCAGTCTGAAGACTACACCGTCCTTAAAAAGTGGTACATACAGGCCGTAATGACAATCATAAAGACAAACTTGACTGAGTTTATGTCAAAACAAACTGAAATCAATAAAGTTTAAATCCCTAAAAACAACAAGGTAGAATGCTCTCACCAATAACAACTCACATACCAGGTCAAAATGGCAAGTGGTCGAGATGTCTTTCTTACACTCTGAAAGTCATGGGCTTGTTTCAAAGACACAGCATTCAGTTTAGGAATGTAGTTTTTAATGAAGATTCCTGGGGATCATTGTCGGAGCTATGGTGTTCATGTTTTGTGCAACAGCAGGCATCTAGCTATTCTGTGATAGGAAAGATGGTGCCAAATGGATTCAACGCAGGACAAAAAAGTATATCCTCTCAACTTCAACAACTCACTGGAGGAAAAGGCTGAGAGCAAGAGGTGGGCAACGATACAAGTGGGTGGACAACATCAAGAGATGGACAGGCAGCAGTCTGAGAGAGTGCACAGCCAGGACAAGGGACAGAGCATGTTGGAGATCCACTGCAGTCAACCTTCACTGTGGAGACGGTACCAGATTGATCTAGAACAACTCAGAGAAAAAAAGACTCAAAATGCACATAAACCTGGCAACTTACTGTATTTGGATTGGTGAGATTGCGAGCATCAGTCAGCCAGCTACTTAGATGGTTGTAGGTGCTTCGTCTGGAAAAACCGAAATCAAGTTCTTACAAAAAGCCATGACTCTACCTCACCTCCTTCCTCTTTCAGTGTTTAACAGTTCAGCATCACATTCCACTGAGCATTCCCAGGTGGGTTCTGGGAGACCATTTTTGGGGGAAGACTCAAAGCCTCCAACAAGCATGTTGTAAAAAGCGACTAATAAGAGCTTTTCCTTCCAAGCTGAAGTGCGCCTGTCTAAGAGGCGAGCAACCAACAGTCTGCATACATGTAAGCCAGATCTGCAAAATGGGTATACCTGCAAAAATTTAGTTCTGAAACAAGACTCAGGTCCAGATGTGGTTGAACATCAAGAACTTTTCTACAGGGTTTAGGACAGGTAAACGCAAAGAAGAAGAAAAGAAGAAGAACATACTGAGACACCACTCACATTATGCTAGAGCAGAGTTTCTCAAACTTTTTTTCGCCGCAGCACCCTTGTTGGGTAAACAAAAAATTGCGGCACACCCACCCTTAAAGAGATTTGAATACTTAACCCTCTTAGCACGGACGGGCCGATTATCGGCCGGACGGCAGTCTAGCCAAAAACACGGAGCGGCCGATTTTCGACCCGATCGTGTTTCGCCTCATCACCGTAAGAAATCTCCTATTTTGAAACACTGAAAGTGATTATTTTATATTCACTGCTGATCTATCTTTGCATATGGCGATTTTCTTGTGTTTGATGTCGACGTGAAATTTGTTGTTGAATTTTTTAGATAGTGACCTGAATCGATAAAACTATGTCTGACGCGACTATTTCTGCTCCTGAACTTGATATTGATGAAACATTCGAATCAAGTGATGATACTATTTCTAGCGATACAGATGCAGGATTTAGTGTTAGTGATAGTGGGGAATCAGATGGGGACGCTGATGAGACCACAGCCCAACCATGGCTCAGGGTATATCCACCCGAAGATGTTGACGTTGTTGTTGTTATCGATCCAGCGGCGCATGAGCTTTCGCCCTTTGGCCCAATGCCATGTAGTGGAATTTGCATGTTTTCACAAGCTGTTCTTTTCCTCCGTACAAGGTGTTCCACTTGTCTGGTCTCGGAGGGAGTAGCGTTCTTCTTGTCTCACTGAGTTTTTGGGCACTCAAAGAGATGGTGTGTTCAACAGTTTCGTAGGGGTAGTTACATAGCTGGCACTCTGGGAGTGTTGTGGCTGTATTCTGTTTAGGTGTCCATTGAGTGGAGTATGTTGCGTTCTAAGTCTGAAGATGGTGGCCTGGTCCCTTCTTGTTAGATGGTTAATGCTGTCATTAGGATCAGGGCCAGACATATGTCTATAAACCTCTCTTCCAGTGTCTACCCATGGCCCATCTGTTCAACCAAGTCTCTTTGTTTTTATAGCTCTTATCAGTGTTTTTGCTGTCTGGAGGGTTGTCGCTGTAGGTGGTTGTTCTTGTGTTGCTCCTTCTTTGCCAATCTGTCAGCTCTGTCATTACCTGGTGTGCCGGAGTGACCTGAATCCACTGCATCACTATTCTGATGTTGTATGAGGTAATAAGCTGATCGGCATCCAGGATTATCTTGGCTATGTCAGTTCTGCAGCGTTCATTGCCCTCCAGAGCTTGAAGGGCAGACATTGAATCTGTGAAGATGACAATATTTTGGACCTTTGAGGGGTAAACATCCATTACAGTCTTTAGGTGGTATACTGCTGTTTCCAGTGCAATTATTTCAGCTTCATGCCATGAAGATGTTGACACTCCGGCCCATCCATTTCTTGAGCTGACTGGTCCGAAACACATGCCACCGAAAGATGTGATTGCTGTGTCTTATCTATACCTGTTTTTGACTGTGGAATTAATTACAACATTTGTAACAGAAACCAACAGATATGCAGCTCAGTTTGTTGCAAAAAGTGCAAATATCCTGAAACGCAGATCCATTGTACAGAACTGGAAGCCAACAACAATCTCCGAAATGAAAGCCTTTATTGCGATTATTCTGAACATGGGGTTGAACAGAAAACCTACCCTATTTTCCTACTGGACCACTGATAAATCACAAGAAACTCCATGGTTTGGAAGAGTAATGCCTAGGGAGAGGTTGGATTTACTACTCAAATTTTTTCACATTGTCAACAATGAAACCTTAGCTGCTCCAAACACAGATGGATATGACCCTTGTGGTAAATTTGCCCCTCTGGTAGAGCATGCTAACAGAGTATTTAGGCATCACTATACCCCAAAATAAGAGCTGTCTGTTGATGAAAGCCTTATAGGAACTAAAAGTAGGAGTCAGATTCTACAATACATGCCAAACAAGCATCACCATAAGTGGGGTGTCAAATTATGGATGTTGTGCGAATCAACGACTGCCTATGTTCTTGGATTTTTTGTTTACAAAGGTAGAAGAGATCAAGAACAAGATGGCTTAGGACTGTCTCACAGAGTTGTGAGAAAACTCTTAGCAATTGGCAATTACCTTAGAAAGGGTTACCATGTCTTTGTGGATAATTTTTTTTCAAGTGTGGAATTGGCCACTGATTTATTTGCTGAGGGTACCTACCTTATTGGCACAGTTCGACGCAATCGGCGACACATCCCTAATGGTATCAAGGGTAAACTTGAGCCCAACGAAACAGTGTATTACAGAAGAGGAGCCATTATTACAGCTGCTTACAGGGAGAAAAAAAGCCAGACAAAGCCTGTACTTCTGTTGTCAACAAAAGAGAAAGCAGAGCAGGTGGAAGTCACAGTGAGGGTTCGGCAAAATGACCAACAGCCAGCCGAGAGATCCAAACCTCGTATTGTCTTACAATACAATAAACATATGGGTGGAGTAGACCAAAGTGACATGATGCTTTATTCCTATTTGGATGAACGCAGAACACTTAAATATTGGCGTAAAGTTGTTTTTGCTATTTTTGGACGAATGACTGTAAATGCATACATTTTGTATCGCCAGAATACGTCAGATTCTAGCATTATGACACGTTATAAGTTTACATCAGCTGTTGTGAGTGAACTCGCAAAAGAATATTCTGACTCTAGGCATCCTCCTACTTGTTCTGGTAATGTTGGAAACTCTGGTTTTTTGCAAATTCCTGACAATAAAGAGAAGGACTGTTGTGTGTGCAGTAACCGCTCCCAACCCGGTGGAAGGAAGCGTAGTAGAAACATGTGTTCCTCTTGTGGAAAGGGTATTCACCACTATTGTTTTGAAAAACATAAATGTAAAAAGGCTAAAGATCAATAAAAAGGTTACAAATAAAATATATTTTTGTTTTTAGTTGTGTGTTTCATGCTCTAAAGTTGAAAATTCATATTTTGATTTTCTATTTTTAGATATGCAAATGAGATCATTTGCATATGCATCAATTTATTTTAACGATATTGTGAAAATCATGAACTTTAACCTATATCCTTCAAATAAATATGTTACTTCATGGGGATCAGAATAACAGAAATGTGTCCAAAAAAAAAATAATAAAGTAATAACCAAATTTACTGAAAAAATGCTCCGTGTTTTTGGCTAGACCTCTGAAAAACTTCCCGTGCTAAAAGGGTTAAGAAAAGGTCATTATTCCCCTTATTTTTAACGGGGTTTAGTTAATTGTACCCTCAAATCACTTGAAAGTTGCTCCTGTATCTGTTTCTTTTTTCTAATGTAAGCGTACGCTGAGAATACACTGCAGCCTTGCCAACAGCACTGTTTTCTGAATACAACTGCATGAAGAACTCTTCTTGGCTTTCTTTGTGGTATTTGTTTTAAACAGCTGTCTTCGCTGATCTCAAGCAGATTTTGAAAAATTCTTGATTGTTGCCGAAGCACCCCTGGCATTCGCTCGCGGCACCCCAGGGGTGCCACGACACCCAGTTTGAGAACCTATGTGCTAGAGGGACCATATGGGTCAGGGAACAGGTAAAGCAGTGGCTAGACACCTGCCCCCCACCTCAAGTCTTAGATGTGAACCTGCAATCAGGCCGCTTGTTATAACTGACCTCGGGTTCCCAGATTGACCAGGAAATGCCCTGGAATTTATAGGTGAACTGCAACATGTTGACAGCATCAGCCACTGAGTGTACAATTCCAGGAGATGGGAAGCTGGTAAGTGTCACTATAAGGGAAACACAGTTCTACACTGGCTAGATTCAGAGGCTGCTCTTCAGAATATGATGATTTGAGAATCAGATATACATACACGTTACTGACTCACAGAGCATGCTGAGAAAGGTGGAGACAGGCATACTCCGTGCAGAGTAGCAAGCATCACTTCAGAGGTCCCGGGTAGTTAGCATCCTTTGGACATTTTCACAAGGTTATGCCGTTGTGTTGGGAAATGAGGAGGTAGATAGACTGGGCTGTTCCGCACCACTTGGTGGTGAACTGATGAATGACAAGCTAATGTTGTGAGGGCCCTTCGGGAGTGAGTCAACAGAGTGGAGGCATAGATAGATCATTACGGTCTGAGAAGGACGCTGCGGGAAGTTACCAGAGGACCTGGTCGATACTCAAAACTCAGGGGAAAGGCAAAACAAACATACAATCAGACAGTTACTAGTACCATCAAAATTAGAACTGTGATGTTGATTCCTGATTCAAAATTCTTCACAATACAATCATTGCTACAAGAGAATGCAGGCAACATATGGTAAAAAAAAGTTTTAGCATGTGAGTCATATTTCAAACAAAGGTCTTATAACAAGCAACAAAACTGTTCGCATCTAAACAGGAAGTATACAAAGTGAGACATATCAGATGTATACAAGGTAACACTGTAGAGTAAGTGTGCAGCAGTGATAAATGGGAAGCAAGAAAAGAATCTGACCTTGTTATATCATAGACCATGAGTGCCCCTGCAGCTCCCCGATAGTAGCTTCGTGTCACCGCCCTGAATCTTTCTTGACCAGCTGTGTCCCAGATCTGTAACTTGATCTTCTGGGATGCCACTTCTATGATTCTAGTTGGAAACAATAACACTTGATTCATTCATTGTACTTTTCATCAAAAATACATCTACAAGTGGCTGAAGCCAATAATGGTACAGATGTGTTGCCTTCTTGTGATGGTCGAGTAGACTGCATGTATATCTTCACCTTCTTTTTTTCTTCTTAGTGCTCACTGGCTGCAAACTCCAGCAGAAAGTTCTGGTCATCATCCACTCCTGAACTTTGGTCTTGATCCAGAAACTTGAGTTTCTTGTGCACATCCGTGCTACAGATCTGGCTCATTTCTATGCAGACTGTTGGTTCTTTGCCTCTCAGGCAGATGCATTCTGACTTGAAAGGAAACACCACTAATTAGTCACATCCTTCAAAATGCCTGTTTGGGGACCCCAGAACCCACAGGGGACATTTGCAAGTACATGACTGTAAGACCATCTGATATGTATGTGACTGTACAGAAACACATAATTATGTATGACTGTGATTGCACTCCTTGCGTGCAACTGTGGAGACATAAAATACCATGTTTGTAACAAGACACTCTTCTATGTGTGAGACTGCTCTCTATCATGTCTGCTATTGTACAGACACACATTATCATGACTGCTATTGTATAGACACACTCTATCATATCTGTCAACGCACAAGCATATTCAACTACAGCGTGTAATTGTTTAAGATTATATACACACACAAACCTATATAAAAAGAGGGATACATAAACAGATAGACAGACAGATAGATGTATAAACATATGTTATACAGGCAGGCAGAGAGTGATAGTGATAGAGTGTGATAGATGCACGTGTAGACATTCTCTATCTCTCCCTCACATAAAAAACAGGCCAGCAGAATAATAGATACATAGACAATACATAGTGAGACAGTCTCACTCACCTACATAAACTCAGACACAAACAGAATGCTTCAGAGGCAGAGAAACTGAGCAGAGAGGATAGCAGACAGATAGCCACTGAGAGACAGACAAATAAACAAATAAGCAAAGAGAATGATAAGATACCTGGTTCCAAACTCCACTCCTATAGTATGGGGACAGTCTGCCATGACTGTAAGAAAACAACAATATTCATATGTAGGTGTCAGCAACATAAATCACATCACTATCATCATCATTACATACAATACTAGATGACTGACATAGGTGCTCGGATGTCTCAGAATCCTGAATGGCTATTACTGGAAGAAAAATAATGCTGTGCCGTCTTCACAATGCAGGTTGGCTACAGTGTTGTACCACTATCTTTGAGAAAAAATAGTACAAACTCTTGTAATGTTGTCCGAAAATCTTGAGAGCCATTTTTTTTTTACCGCCACCGTGGGCAACAAACCCTAGTACTCAAGGATCATGACACTGTTAACTGCATTTGCTAACCTCTAGACCATGGAATCACACAGACTGTTTTTACTTCCTGTATGTGCCGAGAGAGATATGACGAATGGACTGCGATGGTGGCACATGAACGAACGAACTTTATTTTCAAATGGTTACAAATTATGGGGATATAATCAGAGGAACAAAAGACTGAGATCTGTTGAGATGCGCGAACGCCTAGGCCAGTTGGCAGGGCACGTGATGATAATGATGATGATATGCCAGTTTTTATGACAGTGTAGGACAAGGAGCTTCTGAATGGCTGTCAAACACATGCCAATATTCCTCTTGCACAACCCATGCTTAACTTCAAACATATGAATCCTTAAATGTACAATTTCATCTAAAGGACATATGAGAGGGAAAATATATGCAAGTTCCGGGGCTCCATACTGTGGGGAAAACAATAATAGACCTACTACCTACCCAACCTGCATGTCGTAGGAGTCGACTCATTTGGGACCTCCTTTGAAGTCGGAATGCATCTGTCCGAGCAGCAAGGAACAAACAACTGCACACAAATAACCCAGTAAAATGGATGTACACCCAAAACTCAGGCCCTGGCACAACAGTTTAAATGGATGAACAACCAGGACTTTAAGCCGGAGCTTACAGCCAGTGAACAAAGAAGAAGAAGATCACAGGTTTAGAACCTTTCAACTTCTCTTTCTTCTTCATTCACCCTTCAAAGGGCAGTTGGCACTTTTTGTTGTGGTTTACAGATATAAAATATGGAATACTCCCAGCACTCTGTTAGTGATGTGTCAGCAACATAATGGCTGCCTTCACTACTTCTTTTTTTTTTTTTTTTAAAGTATCCAGAAACCATGAGTTTGGCTCTGTACAATGACCTGGATTCCATGATAGATACGGTAAATCTGAGAGAAATGTGGCTTTTTTTGCCTACCCCCGGGCATGAACCCGCACCACAAGGAGTTTGTCACCCGGTCGCGCGGGTGGGTCGACCTGGAAGACAACGTTAATATTGAAAAAAAATGTGCTCCTTGATGTGTGGAATTATTCTATTGGTTCATTCTATCCAAGTTCATCTGTCTAGGCTGTAAGTCTGCCTCTGCCTTGTCTACCGTTAGTCTTTTCAATGTCATTCTTTTCTTCAAATAAGAAAAAACTGTCACTTTCTTACAGCTGATAACAAAACACACATACAATGAAGCACACATGAATACACACAAACATAATATGGTCACTCCACACTTCTTCTACATGAATTGATGAACAAGAAGGACAGGGATGGGCAGGGAGGCCTCTGCCTGCACATGCAAGCAGGTACGCACACAATATGGTCACTCACATATAACTGTGAAATGATGAAAAGCGAGCAGGATGTAGAAACACAACATGGTCCCTTACACTTGACTCAACTGATGAGGTAACCAGAGAGGGTTTGTGTTGTAACACAAACACGTGTTTCTGAACTGATGAAGAAAGCAAAGAGCATGCAAACATACACACAAAGTGGTCACTCACACTTTTTCTCTGTGAACTGATGTAGCAAGCAGGACTTGCCAACTCCCATGTCCCCTATGATGATATACTTAAAGATGTAGCTGTAGTTGTAGGGGCCTGCTGCCATGGTGGCCTCTGCTCTTCAACTGTATAATTTCTCAAATCAAATAATTCTGTAAATAAATAACAAACAAATACGGAAACATGTCAAACAATTCTGTAAATAATTAACAAACAAATATTGAAACATGTCAAACAATTCTGTAAATAAATTAATAGTGAAACATGACATGAAATGAGCTCTGTCTTTTTCTTTTTACAGTCCATTGTGTGCGGTACTGGTAGTCATGAGCATATCAACAATCTTCTGTCTTGTATACTTTCAGAAGTATACACCAGAACCCAGAGACTCAGACCCCCCCCCCCCCCCCCCCCCCCCTCCCCACCAATAATTCCCATAACTGTTGAGGGGAACGACAAAAAAACTTGCAAGGAGGCTAAAAGGTTCCCCTATTTATGTATAGACATTCTCTTTTTAAAATGTTTTTCTATTATTTGTATTATTATTATAACTAGAAGGATTTACCACTAGAACCCAAATAAAGACAGACCAAACACAACATGGAGAAAGAAACGAGGGACAGAAAAATAGATAGGGAGGACATGGGGTGAACTGCATGAGACAGCAAAGGATGGGACTTGGTGGGAGTTGGCTAAGGGCCTAAGCTTCATTGAGGTATAAAAGGCAGAATGATTATTTCTGGGCAATTAAAACAAGATTCAAGCCCTCGAGGGCCCCCCTCTCCCATGTTTTCTTTGTGTCAGTTCCTGGTAGTGCCGTAGTGAATGGCTTATAAACATGGATAACAATTAAAACAATCAATAATAAACTATAAACAAGTATTAGCTTTAACTTTCCCAAATTAGAGTTAACCCACTGACTTATTATTATAAGTATATAAAATATATCATTATATAAAAAGAACAGGGAAGTTGGAATAGATGGTATTACAACAAAAATGCTCCTTGCAAGTGAGACAACAGCTAAAGCTTGGAAGGTTCCAAGTGACTGGCAGAGAGCAATTATTGTCCCCATTTTGGAAGAATAAAGGGGACAAACAAGACTCTGGAACATACAGGGACATCTCCATCTTGAGCCAAATTGGAAAGTTGATTGCAAAAATACTGGAATTTAGAGCTCGACTACTACTAGAGCCCCAGTTAAGAAAGAGACAATTCGGTTTCAGGAAGGGACAGAGCTGTACAGATGCAATATTTTCTTTAAGGCAGATATGCGAGGAGTTTATTGAATGTGTTAAAGTAAACATCTTATATTTACAGATCAAGAAAAGGCATTTGATCGAGTCTATGGATGCACACTATGGAAAATTCTAGAGGATCGTGGCATTCAAGATCAACTGTTTGGTAACATCATGGCTCTTTATCAAGATAGTCGGTGCACAGTAAGAACAACAGGAATGACAGACAGGTTTCCCATCTCATCAGGTGTCAGACAGGGATGTGTCCTCTCAACATTGTTATTCATTACTTACATGGAAAGAATTTACCAAGGAGGCAAATACACTCACTGAAGAAATCAATGAACTTCTTTGCAGAAAATCAATGTCTGATACACCACCAAAAACACAACTGACAACATCATACTGACTCCTTACATCAAGCCTGCACAAAGTATAATTTGAGAATATATGCTGCAAAAACTGAGGTAATAAGGACTGACAGAAAACATAATATCATGAACATTCATGTTAACGGTACTACAATCAAACAAGTACAAGAATTCAAATAATTAGGAAGCATATTTACAGAGGGTGACATACTCGACAGAGAGATAGAAGCTAGAGTACAGAAGGCAAATTCTGTCACCTACTAGTTAACCCCACTGCTCAGACATTTAAATGTCTCCCTTCCAGCAAAACTGCAAATGATCAATATCATCTTTATTCCAACTTTATGTTATCGGTGCCAAGCATAGACAATGAATAGGGCACTAGAACAGAAAATAACTAAATGTGAAATGTGCTGTCTCCACAATGTCACTTACAACACAAAAAGAAACAGGGTTACGAATACCAGCATTAGAGAGAAAGTCAGAATAAGACCATGTCTGAATTATATTGACACACAAAGAAT